AGCACAAATTGGCATTCAACACGGAAGAGCGCCCCACACGACAGCTCCTGCAAGAGCTAGACAGATGCTGCCAATTAATCTATAATTCTTCTACCGTGCGTCGGGTATACAAATTTCTTCTACATTCACTGATCGAAGCCTTTATTATCTAAGAGTCTTCGAAAAACACTGTTTAAAATACACAGTGATTGCGAGTCATCAGAGGCCAAACGAATATTTGTTAATGTGCTACAATGGTCTGAAATACTGTTTAAAAGATTTCAAAGACCGATGGTTAGCTTGAATTGATAAAATGGTTCAGCAAAAGAATAAAATTATGCTCAAAACATTACTCTCGAAGGAAACATTCAGGGACTGTAGTAAGCCAGGGAGGTGAGAGAGGGAGGACTGCTTTATTAGCAAAAATACTGCCGGAATATACATAAATTTTCAATATCTGTCTTTCACAAAACTAATGACCACAGCCATGGATCGATTGTGCACAGCTTCTAGTATGAGCGGATTTATAAAAAAAAATTCGCAAAAGATTCATTTTAGTACTGCTAGCCATTCAAAACATGATTTCATAAAAGCTTATTTATAGCTACCGATTTATGACTATATAAAAATTAACCACAGTCAAGCAACTCGACAAATAAACAATCAAACCAGTAATCTGGCAATTTGAAAGGGCAAATCAATGGCAATCATAAGTCACAGTAATTTTGATCATTAAGTATTAAACCTTTAAAGCAACTATACTTCATGATAGTGAATAGTCAGCCAGACAGTATTTAAAAAATTTTAAACTAATTTTGTTCTGATTTATTTTAGTCAGCTATCATGTCATGAAGGCGAATTGCAGCCATAACGTCTATGTAGTAGATAGCATGCAGTGTGTCTCGCATGCTCTAACAAATTTCAGAACGCTGCTCTATTCCTATGTTTGCAGGTCAACGTCATTCATGTTGCACGTTTCTCGGCTGGTTACACTCAGGCACGATGGTGCCAGTTCAGTGCTCAAGAAAAGTAACGGTTCTTAAGAGAAAATTTACGCCGCGTTTTGGGTTGAACCCAAATCTCTGAAGGGCATGCAAATTACCGACCCATTGCACCCGCACTGCCGTTACACGAGATTCATTCAATTTATTTCGCTAGTCTTGCCAGCCTACACAACTAACTTAGAAAACCTTCTACAAAAAAATAATTACGAATGATATTCCAAAGCAATGCAAGCATGATAACATGTTACTGCATCAAGAACTATGTACGAGATCCTTAGTAAACGTGTGCAACATCGAGAATTTCCGGCCACGATCAGATAAAGAAATCAGACGAATGTGATTGCTGGCAACAGCGAGAAAGGGCCGATTCAGGAATCAATCAAAGACCACACCTCCATCAAACAAGACTCAATCTGTACCTCACTGGTGCAGAAGCGAGTTGTTTTGACATTTCATCAAATGTTTCACTCCCTTTAGCAGAAACGGCAACAAACTGCTGGAATGGTTCTACGCGACAGATCATTGTTATGATAAGGTTTATAATCTAACACCTTCTGTCCAAATCTTAAAGATCAGCTGGCTTCTTTTGGCTATGCTGGAAATTTAGTCCATAATTGCAAACACGTTTTTCCAGCTTTCAGTGTGATGATCATAATCTTTTAAATCAATCACAGAAGAAGAGAAAGAGCAACAGGTCATTGCTTTTTTAATAGCTGAATTGTTCAGAATATAATCGTTAAATTTCTGAAAATCAGAGTCATTGGTTTAACAGTTCGAACCGACCTGTTGTGAAAACATTTGTCGAACAGATGTTCTAAACGACGCGGGAGGAGGGAGGGAGAAGGGTAATGTTATATGTGCAGCGACTGGCGCCGATACGAACAAAATGTTCAACTATTTTGCTGAACTACTGACTTTACCCTTCAGTGAATTTTCTCTACTCTTTCTATGTCAGGGCAGTGTTGAACAACAGAAGCCGAAGTAGATGTCTATTGTGAAGTTTGTAGCTAATGAGAAACGACTCTACTGATTCTTCTTCAACCTAAATGGCAGATAGTTTTTTTTCTCTCACATGTTTAAAGAATGTCATTTTTCGGTGTTCCTTGATTTTTAAGTTTCTTTTAAGTTTAAATCAGATAATAACCATTCGTACTACCAATTAAGAGTTACACGCTAAGAAATAGCAAAATTACTCTGATGGAAGCAATGGATAAGGTGAAGAACTTAATTTACCTCGGAATCTTGTTTACTGGTAATGGAAAATGGGAGAAAAAGACTGACCGGCGAATTAGAATCGCCATTGGCGTTCTGTGTGCACTAACAAACCGTTATGAATAATGCAGAGGTAAGCATTAAAACTAAGCTTTCGGTGTTCAAGTCGATCTTCATCACCATGCTTGTCATGAGTCATGGCTGAAAACTTTGATTCAGAGTACACGTGACTGAAATGAGCTTTAAGAGAGGAATCATTGGGCTTGCGAATCTCAGTATGGTTTGGAGGGCAGATATCCGAAAGAACCTTAGTCTACAATCGCTGCTGCTTCAGATCGAGAAGTTACAGTTGCGACTGTTTGGGAATCTTGCTAATGCTTTCAGAAAGGAAGGCAAAAGACCTAATACTTGTCCAACTGACTTGCCGAAGACCCAGAGGATGGCCCAAAGGACCTGCGAAAGTGTATAAAAGAACTCTGCTGCAAATTCAGGCCATCTTCTGCTGAAGCTCAAACACTGGTACCGGATCGGGAACGTTGGACATACTGTCTGACGCGTCTGCCTATGTGACTCGAAAGGATAAGTAGCCATCGAAACTGACTGACTGACTGACTGATGCGAGAATGCGCTGCGTTACACTTTGCGTTGTTGAGACCAAGGACTTGATGAAATCCGTTTCTGTAAAATCCATTAGGTAGGAATTCCTGGAATTCATTTTTGGTGATACTGACTCATTTCTATTTAATTAATATTCCTAATTTCACTTTGAAAGAAATCATGGGATGACTAGTTGATACTTTAAATTGCATGGGTGTGTTGGCAGAAAGAACTGAAGAGAGTTATCACGTTATACTATGAATTCAACAACTTCTAGCAAGTGGAAGATTTGAACGTGAATTGTGTATATTATTGAATAATAAGGAAAAGTTGTGCACTTACTTCTGACTGTTGGAGCATGGAAATGAAGGAAGTGCATTTCTTATAACCCCATAAGCAAAGTTCAGCATGCCGCGCATCCAATGATTGAAGAAAGAGCTCCAAGGATAGACGAACAATTGAAATGTTTGGAGCAGGTGGTCAGACGATTTAGAGGACTTTAGCTGAGAGGTTCAGTTGCTACCAGGAATGAGAAAAGATGAATCAAGTTAAAAGAAGTCAAAAACAACAATGCTGTCTAATAATGACCACATCAAAGACGTGGAGAGCTCACAATCGATCTGCTCTCACAAGTCTTGAAGATGTTGACTAAGATCATCATGAACTGACTGTCGACGAGTCTAGACGAATAGCAGCCAAGAGAACAGGCATGATTCCGAAGGAGCTGCAACACAGAGGCTAGTCTTATTATATTAAAGCAGGTCATCGAGCGGAAGAGGCAACAAGATCTCTCCAGTGCATCGTTTTCGTCGACTACGAGAAAGAAACCGCCTTTGCAGAATAGTGCATCGACACTCGTTGCATCAGCCTGCTAAAGAAAACTAAAACTTCGTTGATTGCGTGACGAACAGTGCGCTGTTTGGCACCTTTCTTTTGGATTCCAGTAGAAAAGGGCGTGAAGCAAGGGTGACTGTATCCCCAAACTTTTCATGCCTGTTTGGAAATGATGTCCAGGAGGATGAATCGGAACGGTTGGATTAAAATCAACGATAAATGGCTCAACTGCCTAAGGTTCCGTAATGACGTGGTGTTATTTACCGAAAACGCCAATCAGCTGAAAGACAGGCTGTGAGGACTTGACAGAAAAAGTACAGAAATCATAGTAAAATCAATCGGTTAAATACAAACATACCGCAATCGAATTACCTGTCGAAAGCTTAGGTCGCATGAAGTAGTGACATGACCGAAATCGACAGATAAATTTGCCTTGACTATAAGACTAACCGCGGCAAGATCAGCCTGTTGAGATTGAGCGAAGGAAGAGAGCCGGATGGCGCGCGTTCCATTCCATCAAGGATGTGCTCCTCGGCAACATGAGGGAAAAAACACGCGTAAACATTTTCAATTCCTCCTTCCTGCCCGCCTTACTGTGAGGCTGCGAGACGTGGTCTCACACTAAAGCCGTTGAGCGCCAGCTACCTTTCACCGAGAAAACCCGTGATAAAAAGAATGTTGGGATCTCACGTTGGGACCACTCCTCAACATGGTGCTCAGACAACAGACGGAAGTAAAAGCCGTTGTAGTCGAAGGCATGAAGGAATGCTGCCGTGGGTCAGGTGGGTCAGACAAGCTGCTCGGCTCAGCCCGACAGGAGATGATCAGCGATGATCTCGATTGATACCCATACGGGCGAAAAGGTCGTTTGGTCAACCGTCACCACAGTGGGAAGATTATATGGATTACCGGAAAGGCCGCGCTTGGAGGGTAAAGGCTGTACCATGAGGACGTCGTGTGTTGCAGCCTCCGTGATTCGTGGCCGATTACCGACCACTCCAAATGATCCAAGTGGAGTGAGTGAATATCGGCTGAAGAGGAGATTC